CATTTATTTTTTAAGAAATGGAGAATTAAAGCAAATAGATGGAGGAATACAGAATTTTTTTAGAGACTCAACTCAGATTTAAGATGGGGAAAAATCATCCATTTCTCAGAGGAAATCTTGAGAACTATGTAAACTGGATCTGAGATATCTAGACTTTTAACATTATTCATGAGTTCATATTACCAAGTCTTAAAACTACCTGATAAGCCACAGTGGTGATGCTGATCGTAACAACGGCCAAAAGGGATCCGGCTAGGAATGCTCTGTTCTGACATCTCTGCCCCTGAGGCCTCACCAGGCTGAGAGCACTAAATTCGGTCATTCATGGGCATCTCGTGTAATCCTCCATTTGTGCTTCTCACTCCCCCCTCTCCAGCCCCTCTGAGGGAAGCACTGTTATCATCTTCCCCACCTGCAGTTAAGGCCACTGAGGCACAGAGACTAAACCCGTTCCAGGTCACGTTGGCATTAAAGGACGTCTGTATTTCTGCTATTTTGCTATGGACAAAGGAATCTGAGATATCAATTCAAGAGAGACTGTTAAATAGTCAAGTCTGTCTGGTCTTCACCTCAAAGAGCAGATACTATAAATTCCTGACGTAGCATGAGGCTGCCGCCACAAGCTGACTCAGCTTGAAATTAATATCCAAGATGAAGCAGCAGATATACATAAATATTCACGATTGTCAACTCCGTTCACGAGTCTGGGCCCTTCACTGCCTGAAGGGGGTGAAGTCATCACCCGTGTCTGGGAGGGAAGTGTGACTCTTCCAGGTCCCACCCAGGCTTCACGGGCTATTTCCCCCCACAGACTTTCCTCAATGATTAAAAAGCTCTCAAGTTCTTTACACCATGCAAAACTGAAAGACATTTCTTCAGATGGCGCACTTTCTCAGGCTTAAACCTTTTTTGCCTACACTCAGCAAGGGGGAAAAAGAAACATGACTCTGCAAAGTCTCTGAGCCTCAACACTCACTGGAGTAGAACGGCCACAGCAGAAGAAGACTTTTCACATTGCAGGATGAGAACAAAATAAAGCCGCCCCAACAACAGGCACTCCCAGAGACAGCGCTCAGCAGGCTTCTGCACACTCTCGGCTGTGCAGCCCTCACCACCATCTATTTCCAGAACACTTCATCACCTCAGAAGAAACTCTCTGTCACTAGCAATCACTCCCTAACCCCCTCCAACCAGCCCCTTGCAACCATCACCTGCTTTCTGCCTCTGCATGTGCCTATTCTGGGCATTTCAGATCACTGAAATCAACAATATGTGGTCGTTTGTGTCTGGTTCCTTTCACTTAACATGCTGTTATCAAGGCTCGTCCATGTTGAAGTGGCATCAGTATCTCTCCCTTTTTTTTTTTTTTTTGAAAATGTTTAAGTTTATTAGAAGATGGTAAGTACTATCAAAAAGAGTAGAGTGGAGTATAAGAGATTGGGTTTCAAAGGGAAAAGGGCTGGTTGAGCAGTCAGGGAGGACTTCCAAGAGCAGGTGGCGTTTTTCATCTTCCCCTTTATTTTTCTTTTTTCTTTTTTATTCACTCTTATGTCTGAATAATGTTCCACTACACGGAGATACTACATTCTGTTCATCCATTCAGCAACTATGTATGGACGAGGTCCAGAAGAATGAGTATAAGATGTGACTAGCAGGGATGGCATTTAAGCAAAGAGCAAGGTGTGCTTTAAAAAAAAGGCCAACCGACAGAGGCGCAAGGAAATTCAGCGCATCTCTGAGCAAAGTGCATGCTTGCTTTGGCAGGACTACCTTGCAGGGCTGGGGTGGATAACGGCACGAATCACGGTGAGGGAGTCACCTGAGAAGACTGCCCACTGCAAACAGCTCAGCCAATTCTCCTCTCTCATCCTGTATTTTTAGGGCCATGTTTCTAGGTTTCTCTTATTTCAAGTAATAGCACTTTAACTACACATCTGATCATCTGCATCAGACCACCTTACCTACAAGCCACAGAAAATCACTGACCGGAGCAGCTCCAGGACATAACGGTGATGGATCAGGGGGTCCTGCAGCATCCCGGCCTGCAGACACAAACCCCACATGTGCCTTGGTGATGTCCGGAAAGTAAAATGCATGGAAATATCTCACTGCTGTTGCACGACATCTGCACCAAAATCATGCTGGCAAAGCACTACTCAACTCTCTCACTACAAAAATAAATAAATAAAAAGCTACGAAAGCAAATTTAGGCTCTTCCATTGAAAACCAGCAACCATCACTTCCAGTATCTGAGCTGGAATGCTCCTGAATTCAAAAACCACTGCGCAGTTACTTTTCAAACGTGAAAGGGATATATGTATTCCACATAGATGATATTACAGTAGGATTTTTCTTTTCAAAATTTCCAGTTGCAACATTAGCACAAGAAAGTTTATGTTTCAGCTTTAAAAAAATCAATTACTTTCCATTTTCTTAATTTTGAACCTATTATTATTTTATAAAGGGAGCTATGCTGCATATTATAAACCAACTGTTTGGCTTCTACAAACAAGACCTTTAGGTCCTCATTATTTCAGCGCAAACTTTAATGATGCTTTGAGAGGTGGGGCCTGGGGCGTTCACTAAGAGCGCTTTAAATACTGACAAGGATATGCTATTAAGTAATGCAAAGGCTCTAACTCCACATTAACTCAGAAACCAAAGAAACTACACCAAAGCCTTACTTTATCATTTTTAAATATTCCTATTCTTTTGAATATTTAATTTCTTAAAAGATATGATTGTTTCGAGAAAGACAACAGCTATATTAAATTTCCTCTCACCAAGAAAGCAATCTTTATCAAGAATAAAAGCCCCTATGGAAATCCAAAAGATGGGACGTTTCTAGCTAAGTGAACATGCAGATCTGAACACAAACCTAAATCCTATCAGATCTCACTCGAACGAGCTCAACAAAGTCCTGGGCTACCCTGGAACTTAGCTCTTCTGTTCCAAATGTTGGCTGAGCTAAGATTATCACACAAGGCAGGGAAGGAGAGAAGAGGAAAGTCCACCTGGCGGCCTCCATCTATTTTCTTCCAGCCACAAGGTGCCGCTAGGGCGGCCCGACTAACAAGCCCTCCCCATAAGGAAATCCGGCATCCACATTGCCCCTGCCGTCCCCAAGCAGCCCCGACGCCCCTCTCCCACTGGTCACCTCCCTGCCTTTGAATGGTCTTTTAATGTCCCCTCCAGTTGTTGGCACCCTCCCCCTCTTCCCCGCTACACACACACACACACACACACACACACACACACACACAGAGCCAGGGCAGCCTTCCCAAAGCACAAGTTTGATTACATCACCCCCAATTCAAACCCTTCAGAGGCTCCCTGGTAGAGTTCTAGCCCCACCCCTGACCCTAACCCTGCTCGCCAAGCCTCACCTCAGTACCCAGGTCACCAGTGACCTCTGGGGCCCCCTGACCTGCTGCTACTTCCCACTTGCCTCCAGGCTCATTTTGACTGTTTCTCAAGGAAGCCTTCTCTCCCGCCAACCTCCGCACTTTGTTCCTCTGTTCCTAAAACATTCTAGGCTAAGTCAACTTCTGACACTGCTAAGCTCCCAAGAAGGATATACATTTTGCTTACTACTCTGGGTCTACCCCCTCTCCCTTAGACACTCAGAACTGCACGTGTTATGAATAAACGAAAGACGGGGTGGGTCTCAAATGGACAGACAGACCTGCTCTCGCCCGTCCCGACCCTTCTTTCTGTAGAACATCAGAAGCAAAACCAGGAGAACCTTCCCTGAGGGTCTCTTCCTACTGATACCCTTCACTGCCTCCTGTGTCAGTTCTAGTAAAACCCAAGTTCTTTGAAAGCCCTCAGCCCCAGGCCCTGTCCAGTGACCTCCCCAGCAGGGGCACCCTCCACCCTGAACCACAAAAGGCACTCTCCCTGAGTCCCCACCCACAAGCCTCCAGGCCTCTGCCCGGGATGCACCTTCCACCTGACGCCACCTTCTTGACTCCTTCTCCTGGCTGACTCTTACTC